GCTTTATCGCTTTATCGCTTTCTCGCTCTATCGCTATCTCTAATGACTAACCATAGTCATATGAAAGAATCGCGTGTTCTTTAACTTCTTTTGACTAGAATTTAAGTAGATAGTGAGAAAACTTCAACATTCTGTCCATATGTATAATTCGAAATGTGACTGGAAAATTCTCAGCTCTCTTTTATGATTAAAACCCCTCCCCCCACTGAGGTCAGGTTTAACAATTCATTAATGTTGTTTTACGTATATACTTTTTAGCGTTAAGAAACCCATATAGTGGCCAAGAGGGAATATTGCTATACCGCGAGAAAGCGATAGAGCGAAAAATCGAGAAAGCGAGAAAGCGATAGAGCGAGAAAGCGAGAAAGCGAGAAAGCGATGACCCCTCTCGGCCACCATACTTTTCGGCTTGTTCCGGAATAACACGATTTGGTCACGAATGTAACTCTGCCATGACCATTTATAGGCGGGATCAAACTCTAAATGTCACTCGGTGCTGTGAACATCACTCGATATTTTACTAGCGCTTCAAACATATTCATCTGCTGGCACATGCCAACATGGTGAAACAGACAAGTCACTCGGACTACCAATGTGTGGCTAATCGAGTAGGCCGACTTTATTGGGAAAAGAGTGAGTGAGTTGGGTTTATCGCCGCTTTTAACAGTATGACAGTTATATCAAGGCGTGTCAGCTTAATGTGGGAGGAAAGCCCGAAGTGATGCAAGTCTCAGACGTTTACCACTTCGGTGAAACCCACGAGCACGGGTATGGTGCTGACAAACCTAGAAACATAATCGGGGCGAACCGGGATTCGACCCCACAATCATAAGTTTCTGGTGTGCCCAAGGGACGCAACTCACAGCGAATCGCGGCGCCTAAGACGACTGGGACTGAGTTTAACCAAGGTATTCCTTCAGGTCAACAGAAAAAGAAATGTTTTTCTTTACTAAAAACAGACGTAATTCAAAATAAGCATATCGTTTTTATTAGTGACAACAAAATCAGTAATGGTACTCTCGTATCACTGAATTTTCTTGACCCGTGAAGATTTCGGAATAGAATAGATCTTCAGCAACCCATGCTTGCCGTAAAAGGTGACTATGCTTGTCGTAAAAAGCGACTAACGGGATCGGGTGGTCAGGCTCGCTGACTTGGTTGATGCATGTCGTCGATCCCAATTACGTGGATCGATGCTCATGATATTAATCACTGGATTGTCTGGTCCAGACTCGATTATTTACAGACCGCCGTCATATAGCTGGAGTATTGCTGAGTGCGGCGTTAAATCAATCAACCAACCAACCAACCAACCAACTGAATGTTCTTGATAATCGATCACTTGATTGTCTGGTTTGTTTACAGGCTGACGTCGCATGGCAGGAGGACTGCTGTGCTGCGTCAGGCAATAAAAACTTTAAGTTACTTTTTTATGCAAATTGTATGAATGGCGGTGCACGGTAGGGCAGGACATGCTTACCCTTAACGCGAACACCTGTTGTCATCACTGATTTTCAGTGGTCCATTCATATAATTTCCACAGTTATTTACCCTTTACGCCAAATGGAATCTGTTTCCACAGAAAACCTGGACTGGCTAATCTCTTGCATTGCCAATTTATACTGTGTTTAAAATGATTTATTCAGCAGAAACACAGGCTTAACTGGTGAAAGACAAACACGACCCACATGGGGACCACCGAGTATGGACCCGAAAATCTGGGGTAGAATAGATCTTCAGCAACCCATACTTGCCGTAAAAGGCAACTATGCTTGTCGTAAGAGGCGACTAACGGGATCGGGTGGTCAGGCTCCCTGACTTGGTTGATGCATGTCATCGTATCCCAATTGCGTGGATCGATGCTCATAATGTCAATCACTGGATTGCCTGGTCCCGACTCGATTATTTACAGACCGCCGTCATATAGGTGGACTATTGCTGATTGCGGCGTTAAACAACAAACAAACAAACAAACAAACAAACAAACCACCGAGTATGAGAGGAGGTGATCATGATGCCCAGTGGTTGTTTGATCTGGATTATTTGCATCTCGAGACTGGATTCCTCACGACCCGTGAAGATCCGGGGTAGATAGAATAGGTCTTCAGCAACCCATACTTGCCGTAAAAGGCGACTATGCTTGTCGTAAAAGGCGACTAACGGGATCGGGTGGTCAGGCTCGCTGATTTGGTTGATACTTGTCATCGATCCCAATTGCGTGGATCGATGCTCATGATATTAATCACTGGATTGTCAGGTCCAGACTCGATTATTTACAGACCGCCGTCATATAGCTGGAATATTGCTGAGTGTGGCGTTAAACAACAAACCAACCAACCAACCAATTGCGTGGATCGATGCTCATGATATTAATCACTGGATTGTCTGGTCCAGACTCGATGATTTACAGAGCACCGTCATATAGCTGGAATATTGATGAGTGCGGCGTAAAACAACAAACCAACCAACGACAATGTGGACAATGCTTTGTGGCGATTTTTCAAAGAAACTATGCTAGTTCTGGAATATTCACGTACTCCATGCAGCATGGGGCTGACATAATGAGTTGCCGTTTCCCTGGGTGATCGCACTGACATAGAATCAAAGGTCCACAGCAACGTCCACAAAAAAACAGACAATGGGTAGTCGACGTCGTGGATGACGATGCATCCGGCGATGGAGGCGTCGAATCTGATGACACGGATGTTAAAAAAGAAGAGACTGAACGTAAAACTGCATGTTGGCATATCTCTATTTATGTATGTGTGTATGTATGTGTGTGTGTGTGTGTGCGTGCGTGCGTGCGTGCGTGCGTGCGTGCGTGCGTGCGTGCGTGCGTGTGTGTGTGTGTGTGTGTGTGTGTGTGTGTGTGTGTGTGTCTGTGTGTGTGTGTAACGCCGCATTCATCAATGTTCCAGCAATATGACGGATATCTGCAAATAATTGAATCTGGACCAGACAATCAAGTGACTGATATCATGAGCACCGATCTACGCAATTGGGATACGATGACATGCATCAACCAAGTCAGCGAGCCTGACCACCCGATCCCGATAGGCGCCTCTTACGACAAGCATACAGGCGAGGTGAAAAAGGGTTGCACTGAGCGACGTGCGTGTGTATGTATGTGTGCTCGTGCGTGTGTGTGTACTCGTCCGGACCAATGCCGATTTTATTGTGTTAGCCCACAGAGATACCACTGATCAGTCCTTGTTTTAGCCCCTTAATGCTGATCACCAGGCATGTTCCATCTTCCAACGTCTTTTGGTATGACGTGGCCGGGGATCGAACCCCGGACCTTCCGCCCTCCGGGCCGACGCTCTACCACTAGACCACAGAGGCGGTGCCAAGCATATAATCATCGTTTATGGCAAGCATGTACTTGGAAGTAATTCAATTGAATGAAACTGTCTGTAGTCGTAATTGGGTTTCACTGAAGTATGTTCACATGAAGCTTATTCAAAATATCAAAAACCATATAAAAAATGCTTTAGTATATTGTGACTAAGTAAAATTTAGCGGATCCTGGAACGAAGATAGGGCTGTAATAGATAACTTACTGGTAGAGTCCTGGTCCCCAGTACCTCATGATTGATGCACGAGACGGCCCCGCGGGATAACTGGGATAGACCTGGTCCCAAGTACCTCATGCTTGATGCACGAGTCGGCCCCGTCGGATTACTTGGGTAGAACTGGTCCACGGTATCTCGTGTTTGATGCACGAGTCGGCCCCGTGGGATTACTGGGGTAGAACTTGTCCCAGTACCTCATGATTGATGCTCGAGTCGGCCCCGTGGTGGGATTACTAGGGAGAACTTGTCCCCAGTACCTCATGCTTGATGCACGAGTCGGGTACATCATTACACCAACTGAAAATGTTATAACCACTCGGCTAACTCGAGGCAGAAACTAACCTCAAGAACGAGAAGAACTCATAAATATTTTATTTTTATAATAAAAAAACACAGATTAAAAGAACCTGAAATGTAAAGACTAAAATATTATGCATTTTGACCACAAGAACATTAAACTGATGGAAGCTCTGAGAATACAGGCTCTTTGTGATAAACACTATTACGGTTCGGTTGCAAATCCTACTTTAACATGCCATTTGACATGAAGTGATTGCATTCGACTTTAGCTGATGTGCGTGTGCGTGTGCGTGTGCGTGTGCGTGTGCGTACGTGCGTGCGAGACATAGACTGTCCGCAGTAGGGGGGAAAAGGCACTGGATAATGTTCCTATATATTCCCAACAGCGGAATTACACATGTAAGGGATTTGAAGACTTCTTTTCTTTTACCTACAGAAGGTACACACATGCCATACAAATAGTCCCAAGACTTTAACGCTGATCCTAAATACTAAACACACAGATGAGGCACGTATAAACAACGTTCTTCCAAATATCTACTGAAAATGAGGTTGATAGATGCATCTTAAATCGGGTGTTACATCTTATCTATTATGTTTTAGTTTGATAAACCAATCTGGTAAACAAGATGTGTTGAAAATATACAACATCCCTCACTGAAATGACATAACACTGTACATTAATTATGTCTTTCTAACATTTCGGGAACACTATGTATACTGAAAACATCACACGATGCAAACGTGGACATGGAAAAAAGTCACAAAGGTTTCAGTAAAGCTTTCAAAACGTTTTATGGTAGACATGTGGAGGACATTTCCAAAATTGACGCATCAGCATCCATGAGCCGGTTTCCATTCGCGTCATATTACTAACTATATTTCCATCCAAATTCTCAAAAATGCGTGCCGGGGGCCATTTTATTTTTCATATGTTAATTTTATTACAAACTGTTAACGGTATATATGTACATACACTGTCAACAGATGTGATTCACATGAAGCATGAATGTTTGATAGGACTATGTATGGCATATTCCATGAAGTGATGAACGAAGTGAAGACACACATAGTATAGTTTAACAAGTGAGTGAGTGAGTGAGTGAGTGAGTGAGTTTGTTTTACGCCGCTTTTAGCAATATTCCAGCAATATCACGGCTGGGACACCAGAAATGTGCTTCAAACCTTGTATCCATGTTGGGAATCGAACCCGAGTCCTCGTCGTGACGAGAGAACGCTTTAACCACTAGGCTACCCGACCGCCCCTTTATCAAGTAATAAACGAAGGGAAGACATATAGTCTTCATCAGTAGGTACCTGGCGACAGTAAAACGATGGGAGGCGGGAGGGCATGATTTCTATATTAATGTAGTATGGCCTTACCCACTTGCGGACCTAAAGGGGGTGCAGGGTGCGGAAACCAACCTTTTCAGATGCCTTACATGTGCCCTTTAAGTTACTTCGTAACTTGGGTATTACGTGCACCCCTTCCTTGGACCCGACTCTGTTACCTGGATTTAAGTAAGGTTACCTCGGCAACAGTTTTTGTAAGGGTCATCTTTCATACATACATATATATTATAAAATTCCAAACCGTTCCCAATCTCGAAAAATAACACTGTACTATACTAAGCCATAATCTAAATGTATAGAAAACTCGATTTAATACAACCACAGAGTCATCGTTTAGTTTATGAATGAAATGTAATCGCTATGAAATAGAAAATGAATACCATTTTTTGTTAATTTGTCCTTTTTATAAAAGTAGTAGAGACAATTTAATTCCAAAATGTTACCATGTGCAACAATCTGTCCCAAAATTTGTCAGTCTTCTATCTACCAGAAATGACTGTATTATTAAAACCTGTCCATATATTTAAAAATACATTTACCTATGTAAATACAAATGTAAAAAAAGATGAACGTTTGTTGTAAGAAAATTTGTGCATAGTAAATATTATTCCTGTAAATGAACTCTGGGCCATGTGGCCTTCATTCATGAAATAAACTTCTTCTAAACTTCTTCTAAAACTGTACTATATGTTAAAAATGTCTCGTGGTATGTCTCCGGTATAAATATGTATACGTCAATAACAAGTACACACTGGTAACATCGTATGAAGTGGTAACTACTTCAGGTTCTCTGTGTAAACATATAGCGAGTTTGACACCAATTAGCTAAGAAACGACACAAACTATAACCTGAAAATACGATGCATAAGGAACAACATATGACAGCAGTGATAAAGCGATCTTAGCGACACTGTCAGTAGAAATGAAAGATTGCTTCGCGAGCGACGGTTTCCAACAATCATAATCAGTGTCATTGAGTCATGTCTGAGCTTACAGCCATCCTGTGTTGGAAAGTTACACGTTTTGCCCATGCTGTTGTCTGTAGTATGGCTGTGGTGGGGGATATGCCTGCTGCCAGTGTTGTGTGGGGGATGGTGCCCATCCCTACCACTACGCCATGCTGGGGCTGAATCACAAAACCTGGCTGCTACTCCTGAAACGAAAACATAATATATTAATTGACAGCAATATACTAACGGAATAAAGTAACTGTCATATAAAGAGGTGTAAATGTTATGTTATTGAAAACCATTATTGAAAACCATTTATCGATTATTTACAGCCCGCCGTCATGTAACTGGGATATTGCTGAGTGCGGCGTTAAGCAACAAAAGAACCAAATCATTTTCCAACTCATCCCAGCACCCTTTTACTGATTATAACACAGCTTGTTCTGGTCGCTATGTGCCTGAAGCAATGCCGATATGGCATAACATTTTAACTCACTGATCCAATTCTTTGTTTGTTTGTTGCCAAACGTCGCACAATATTTCAGTCATATGACGGCGGGCTGTAAAGTAATCGATTCTGGACCAGACAATCCAGTGATTGACATCATGAGCATCGATCCACGCAATTTGGATACGATGACAAGTCAGGGAGCCTGACCACCCGATCCCGTTAGTCGCCTCTAACGACAAGCATAGTCGCTATTTACAGCAAGCGTTGGTTGCTGATCATGAAGACCTATTCTAACCGGATCTTCACGGGTGATCCCATGCTGATCATAAGGAGAGACTGAACTGGATTGGATGCTCAGACTCTGTGTCTCAGGTTTTTGCGTGTCATCGTGCCCATATGGCGAGGATGTTGCTCATGTTTTCGGTCACTGGTTCGCCTGGTCCGGATCCGCAGGCAGCCTCGTAATAGCTGTTGTTTGGTGACTGCGGCACCATAAAACAACATTCACTCATTCGATTAAGAATTGGCTTTCACTACCTTCATAGAGTGAGGGGCATACACTGTTTGGCCCTCACTCTATGAAGGTTCATACTCCAATGAACTCACTCAAAGTGAAAGTCAATTCTTATAATTTTTTTATCACAATTTCTTACCTCAAAGGATGCAGGCCAAGATCTAGACACAATTTTATTTGGTACGTGTGACTTCATGTTTACACTGACATCCATACAACTACCAGATATATCGCGGAATAAAATAGTTCCTAAAAGAGAGAGGTGGCATGAGCGTATGGATGAACAACTTGCTCTTCAGAAACATCTTACGCAACACATGCGTTCAAATCATATCACCATTAGATGAGAAAGGGATGTAAAGAACAATCTCAGTAAGTCAGTCACAATGCTCGTCGTAATATATACATCAAGTACAAGACGTCAAAATGGCCGGCACGATACACGTGACGGGAGAGATTTCCGAATTTGTTAATGAACCTGTGGCGCGGTTACATGTGTTAGTCATCACTGATCAACTGGCCGATCATTGAAAGGTGATTAAAAAAGCGTCAAACAGACACTAAGGTAAATTCATAGCTCGAGACGGTCACTGTCAGCCTAGACACGGAGCGAGTCGATACTACGATAGTTTGGATGTGTACTTCTTCATTTGTTTAGGAAGGGCCGTAGCGAGGATAGCCATTCATGCTCAAGCTCTCTGACGTTTCTCAATGTATACTGAAACGCTCAGATCAGGATGTAAGGTTCTAAATGATCAGAAAGAGTGTAAGTGAGTGAGTTGTGTTTAACGCCGCTTTTAACAGTATTCCAGTTATATCGCGGCGTATCAGCTTAATGTGGGAGGAAAGCCCGAAGTGATGCAGGTCTCAGACGTTTACCACTTCGGTGAAACCCACGAGCACGGGTATGGTGCTGACAAACCTAGAAACATAATCGGGGCGAACCGGGATTCGAACCCACAATCATAGGTTTCTGGCGTGCCCAAGGGACGCAACTCTGCACAGCGAATCGCGGCGCCTTAGACGACTGGGCCACCCGTGCCCCCTTGATCAGAAAGAACGCTTATGTATGTTTTCGTGCTGGGTTATCCCAGTGGTTCCCCAGGAATGTGGAAGTAGTCCGTCAGTGTTTTCGTCATGTCCAGAACACGGTCTCGTCAAAAACGTATGAACGTCAACTTGTGTCGTTCACACACTTATGAACGTCAATTTCGCGGTCATGTGACCGACCTCTCGTCTAATGGAAAAGCTGTATATCCTGTAAACGTCAAATTAAAAAAATATATCCACAGTTGACTATATATTTGAATAACACTTTTAACTCCCTATTGTATAGTACCTAGCGTCCGCAGGTAAGCATCCCGCCTAGAATGGTGGCGACGAGTGTTGATATCCAGCCAACCACGACCATCACAATGATGCCGACAGCCATGCCGTTAATGGCGTTGAGGTCTTCACAAGTGAAGCCTCGCTTGGTTCGAGAGCTGTTAAAGATAGAACAAAACCTGACGGTAGAATATTATCAGATAATTGTTAAGTGTTCGTCCCATTATGAATTCAGTATGAACATACAGTAAACTACGTTTATAACGAACACGCTTATAACGAACTGTTATTGCCCAGGCCATTTGCTGTACATATAATATGCTTATAACGAACTACGGTTATAACGAACTAAAATTAGTTGTCCCTTTGAGTTCGTTATAACCGTAGTTTACTGTAATAAGAAAATATGCACCCATGTTGATGGTGGCGAAAAATGAAACAAAAAAAGAAATGATTGTTCGATGGTGATGTATTTGATATGAGTTACATGGTTGTGCCTTGGTCCTTACGTTTGCAGTATTTAGCGACTGTTTTCAGCTGAGTAACATTTTGATAACTTTTGTAATTTGTTCGTCAAATCCAATTTTCAAGTGTATATTTTCTTTTCTCTGGCAATTTAGTTATATTCAAGCCAACACTGCAAGTTATCTGACACACAGTTATCACAGCTGTAACTCAACAGCGGATCCTGCATCCTGTACGGAGAGAGCAGTTGTGTGCCCCACTACAGGACATGGGGAGATAACTCTGGCAGTACGATGGCGTCACTTCCGGTTCCGGTGGAGCGCGCGTATCCAAGATGGCGGCATGTCCAGTTCCGGTGGCGTGCGCCCAAAAGATTGCGGCACGTCCGGTCCCGGGAGACGTGCGCACCTCCAAGAGGGCGGCACATCCGGTTCCGGGAGGAGGCCATAAGAAGCGCACGTAAAATCCTCCTCTTTCATTTTTTTTTCTATTTAAAAAAAAAAAAAGGGGTGGTGGTGGTGGAGGGAGGAGGGAGGAGGGAGGAGGAGGGAGGCGGCGGAGGGGGGAGGGGATGAAGGCGGCGGCGGCGGCGGAGGGGGAGGGAGGGAGGGAGGGAGGGAGGCGGCGGCGGAGGAGGAGGAGGAGGGAGGAGGAGGAGGAGGTGGGTTCTTTGTTTGGGTTTGAGGGTAGCGGCAGCAACTAAAATTTTTAGTCCACTAGTCCTTATAACCCTTAAACCTTAAAACCTCCTGCCAATGGTGATCTCAAGTGGAGCATTTCTACTTCCAGCCCTGCCAGTGATGATCTCAAGTGGAGCATTCAATTTAAGTTCAAGAAAAAAAGCCTGTGAGGTGAGTCACATATCTTGGGTACATTTAATATCTGTCCCTCCTGTTACCATCCATTTTCACATAACTATATTATCAACATATTGACATGTTGGTCACTTGTTAAAAGAAGTCAGAGTTTCCCAGTGAATATTCCACGTTCGTCCATTCAACAGGGAGTGTTACTTGGCATAAGACGAAAAATGACATAAAATACTTCCCCCCTGTTACTAATCCCATGCGATACAGCGGGGAAATATTAGTAACAGGAAGGATATTATATGCTTTTAGAAGGGATCAAATGTAACACTTTCACACACTGTTTAACCACTGAAAAATGTTGAGCAAATTGTTCTAGAAGTATATTAAGCTTCGGGTCAAACATTTCAAATACTATGAACATGTCGCTGAGCATGTTTTACTTTAACAAAGTAACAGCAAGGACAATTTGAGCATGTAGTTAAACCGCAATGTATGAATTAGTGGGTTATGTGATAGAGATATTGCATGGAAAATAAAGTGTTTTGTCCTTGTTTTCCAGATTTGCATGGCTCTCTTTCAGCTGCTGAGAAGCAGAGGCGAAACACGTGATAACGATCTGGAAAGACGTACCACTTACCTCATGTTACCACAATTATAAAGTTATCTCCATAGAAGGACAGCATTTTGATACAATAACATTTGACATTGATGCCTAATTCATAAGTTGAATTTGTTTCATTTGAAGACTATGGATATCTACATTAACACACCATGGATACTTGTATTAAATTCTTTTTTCAATTCTAGAGGTCTTGTCCTTCCTGTTACCAAACTGTTCCTCCTGTCACCCAGATCAGTGAGTGAGTGAGTATGGTTTTACGCCGCGTTTAGCAATATTCCAGCAATATCATGGCGGGGGACACCAGAAATGGGCCTCACAAATTTGTCACCCAGTCCAAAACGTAAAAGTAAATTTAATGAATTCAACATTGTGCTCAGTGCTTGTGTCAAAGAACCAACATGGTCATACAAAATATTGTAGTAATAAAGTCTAAATAGCTAACACCTGGTGAAGAGTATATGACATAATGATACTTAAAATATGGAAGGTAGCCTGCAGCATTCACATTTAAACAAAGACTGTAGTCAAGGTAGACACAATTTTATGGATAACAACTTCTTTAATACTGTAAAAAAACGACGTTTCGGTATAGATCCTTATACCGTTGTCAAGCAAGACTAAATGAGGGACATAGTACAGAATATATATAGTAGGTGGAGGATTAACAGTAGATTCCACCTATGTGTTCTCTGTCCATCGTCTTGTGACAGTATTATCCTTCTGTTGTCAACACTTACCCGTGTTATCCCACTCACGTATGCAGTTGTTACTGTTAATCCTTCACCTACCATATATGTTCTGCACTATGTTATAAATCATTGAAAAGATAAACCTTTCATTTTAGTAAACTTACTTGGGTATGTCTACTTTTTCTCAAACATAAGTTTTACCTACGGTAAAAGAGGGACACTTGACATTCAGTTCCCTTATGCCATTTGGCATAAGCAAAGCAGGAACAATGATTGAGGTGTGAAATTCATGTTTTTGTATTCTCAAAAGGTCACGCAGTTGTAAAAAATACGTTTAGCACAAAAATGATTTGTCATTTTTGCCATGAAGAAAATCTAATATTTTCTGATCCACATACATAACACACTGATATGATCAGAAAGCGTGGGCCTATGGGTGTGGTCTTCGTTTCTTCATACAGGAAACTAGTGTGATGAGGTTACCCCAAGAACAGTTTTGTCAGAAGGACAATCAATGTAAGGTGTCGTATTTTTATTTAATGTTTAGTGACGAACATATTCTTACCTGCACACACAATTGTTTCCATCGGTTTTGCAGGTTTCGGAGTCGGCCGCATCCAATGCGCCTATTGCCAGTACACAGATAACGAAGATGATTCCCGTAATGACGAGCGTCAGGATACAGAATACCATCTGCGTGATGTACTGAAATACACAAGTTACTAATATCTATATCCCACGGGCGATGTTCAGTTGTCAATGTGGTACTGCACAATACTGATGACTAGAGCAGTAGCCACGGAGTCGATATATATTAATATGGTACAAGGTTTATGATGTACTGAACAGAAATATATATGGTTATTGTTTTTAGTTTTAAATAATAATATTATGATGTCATACCACCACTCACTACTTTCTGTTAGATGTTTGGTTTTCTCGCACACATCGTAGTACCATCTTAATACATTTGCATTCTTTTTCAATCTGACAACTATATTTGAATTGACTTCAAGTAACGAAATTCTAGTTCTTCATTTAATAACTACATTTTGTATCTTAAATATAGAACGGTCATATCTCGAGTGTTCTAAACTAGGCGTCACTTAAAATCACATCTTACTTCTTGCTACCGCTCAACAAAGATATATAAGGACATCCCATTTCAGGTCACGTCAGAGCGACCTTTCCGCATACACATACATATACACATACACCTTTACACGCCGACGCACGCACGCAAGCACGCACGCACACACATCGACACACGCGCACCTACAAAAAAAACACCCACATACACCGACACATAAACATACACATAAACACACACATGGACACACAAACGCCACATATACATATACACACACCCATGCACACACCGACACACACATAAACACGGACCGACAGACACACATACACACGTCGACACATACACACACCGACACATACACATACATACTGAACCAGAATATCCGTACGGGGGCACGGGTGGCCCAGTCGTCTAAGGAGCCGAGATTCGCTTTGCAAAGTTGCGTCCCTTGGGCATGCCAGAATCCCGGTTCGCCCCGAATATGTTTCTAGGTTTGTCAGCACAATACCTGTGCTCGTGGGTTTCACCGAAGTGGTGAACGTCAGAGACCTGCATCACTTCGGGCTTTCCTTCCACATTAAGCTGACACGCCGTGATATAACTGGAATACTGTTAAAAGCGGCGTTAAACCCAATTCACTTACTCACTCAGAATATCCGTACAAATATGGGAGGTAAACTGAAGGGCATGGCTACTCACCCCTCCCTTGCAGCGTGCAAATGATGCTATGGCGCCGATGAGGCCAGGGATGATGAACTGTGAAGGAAACAAGTTTGTGAGGGTCAGCGCATTTTGACGGGTGATCTGACTTATTATTGGTGAAATTTTGTTTGTTGGGATTGTTGGCACATGACAACTTTTGTTCATTAAACCTGACGTCACGCAATATCGTCTTCGCCTATTTCAAGAACTGCACACAACTGTCGTGTTACCTTTTGAAGTGGTGATCCTCGGCAAACCTTGAGTGGTATACATTAAATCTGTTACTGCTTAAATTATTTTCTATCCAGATAATCCAATGAATGACATCATGAGCATCGATCTACGCAGCTGGGAAACGATGACATGCATCAACCAAGTCAACGAGCATGTCCGTTAGTCGCCTCTCATATGACAAGCATCAGTTGAAGATCAACTCTCACCCGGATCTTTACGGGTTTTATTATGAATAAGGGAGGTAAACTGCCATGTGAGAAAATTTGTAATTGGTACCTACAGCGAAGCCTATGGACCATAAAGGGGACGACGCATACGCTGAAAATTGGTTGAAGCCTTCGTGGTTTTTGAGAGTCACCTGGAAAATCTTGTCAAAGAACGTATACACCAAGACGCTGAATGCGGTTCCTGCAAACATAATAATGACGCTAGTGGTACCTGAGACATATACACGCTGATAGTTTCGTTAATGAATAACACGTGGTTATGACAGCAGGATCATGTATGGGGTCGACGGGCCCATGCTGTCAACCACTGGTTTATCTTCCCAAGAATCGACTAGAATCCCAGGTAATCATCACCTAACTAGAATATTGCTGAGAGCGGCGTAAAACAACAGTCGTTTTCGAATTCCCCTCATGGATACAAAGCGTGAAGCCCGTTTCTGGTGTCCCTCGACGTGATATTTCTGGAATATTGGAATATTGATAAAAGCGGCGTAAACCAAACTCACCCACTCACAAATCTTTGTCACTTGTGGGCATATGGCAACGCTGTTTTGTCTACCTCATAGATTCATATATTTACATGTAGCAATCCCCCAATATTAATACTAAAAAAGAGTATGAATATGATTGAAGCCATTTCAAACCTATTGCCACTTTTGTATTTTGGTATCTCCATATCTGATAGTAACAGTGTGAGAGGTAATATACTCTTCAAAAAAAGAAACGCAAAGCTAGATTTGTGTGAAGTAGGAAAGTGCATTTTTACGAGGAACCGTACAAGGTATTGAGGCACAATGTTGTGGAGAGAACACTTGGTATCTGTAGTCATCTCACTTATCGTTACTTGGAAAATGTCCAAGGTGAAGGTCTGCTACCATCAATAACGCGTTTGTCCCCGTTGGAATCGATAGCGGCCTGACATCTCCTGTCCTTGGAAGAGACGAGTATGCGAATCACATCCTGGGGAACGGTAGCCCACTCGGCCTGCAACGCTATAGCCAACTGTTGCAACGTCTGGGGCTGTGGTTGACGTCGGCGTAGCCGTCTATCCAATTCATCCCACAGGTGCTCTATCGGGTTCACATCCGGGGACCTGGAGGGTCAGGGGAGAACATCAACGTTGTTGTTGTTGTTGTGTAGACAGGCTCTTGTGATCCGTGCTGTATGCGGTCGAGCATTGTCCTGCTGGAATACACCGTTGCCGTTGGCTGCAATTGGGAGGATGTGTGGTAGGAGAACTTCGTTGATGTATCGTTGAGCCGTAAGATTGCCCTGGATATGGACCACACTTGTCCTGCCATGATGAGAGATATCCATCCACATTATAACGCTACCCTCACCAAACCTGTCCATTTCCAGTACGCAGTTTCCGGCGTAACGTTCTTCCCGACGTCTGTAGACCCGTGCTCTTCCATCCCCTCGACGGAGGAGAAATCTTGATTCGTCGCTGAACCAGACATCAGCTGAGGCCATACCCTGTGTTAACGACACCAATGCAGTCGTTGTTGACGATGCGTCGACTCAATAGAACGCGTCGAACAGGACGCCTTGCTCGTAGACCTGCTGCTCTCAAACGGTTTCGTACGGTCTGATCGGAGATTCTGTGCAGTCCGGGTATTTGGGATGCGGTTGAGGTGGCTGTGGTCGTCCTTTCACGTTGGTGGCGCAGTTGGATGTAGCGATCTTGGGCGGGGGTGGTTACTCTTGGTCGTCCCGACCTTGGCCGATCACATGTTGACCCATCGAAACCGATCCCATAACCTTGTGATGGTGCTGGGCGGTACATTGAAAACCCTGGCTAAAGCTGATCGGGATTCCCCTGCTTGCAAGCGGCCTGTGACGTTGTTTCTTTGCACTTCTGTTAATCTTGGCATGTTGTTGAACTGTCACTGTTCGATTGACGCAGATGCCAGGCAATCAAAAACCCTGCACTTTATATACCGTTCATAGTGCTACTGCACGTGCAGCTCAATGGCCCTTTCGTTAATGCACTGGGTGCGTTTTTCCAAATCGTACCTCTCCCTGGCTAATGGTTTGCATGTCGTGTTGCATGCCCTGTTGTGATAATGTTGATCGGGGAAATTTGTCCCTGACTCTATAACACATTTAACCTCTTCATCTTGCAAATCTTGGTCCGCTAATTTTGCTTTTATCGCCAAAAATATCCGTTTTGCGTTTCTTTTTTTTGAAGAGTATACTTTCAGGTGAGACTTGCTCTGGGGATTTACATTTCAATTGTAAGACCTAGGTTTTATAATTGAATGTTTATAAACTGGCCTTTTTCATGTGAAAATATCAGTATATTTTTTATTTTTTAAAAGTCAAATTATTTTCACATGAAATTCCACGACGAGAATCGAAAATGCAACCTCACACATCGTTTTTAGTTTTGTAACGCAGTGTTTTCCCACAGAGCCACCAAGGCAGGGGATGGAAGGCTGTTCAATTTTAGATGTCATGAACTCTCGCACGCTTTCACTGAATTCGTTTTATTCCTGGACACGCTGTATCTTTTCACTATACGACAACCCGATGTTTCTTGCATTTAGACGGTTCTTAAGTCCACCTCCTCGGTTTTTTTTGAAAATATGAAACCCCGAGCTCGGAAAGAGCAATCGGGCCCGCGGCCCTCAGGTTTATCCCTCGTGTTTTACACTTTCAACCAAAACCTCGGTGTCGTGTTTTATCCTTATCCTATAACTATTGCGCGAGCACATTTTAAATAAGATAGAAGTCAAGGCTCACTAAATTCAATGTTTATTCCTAATAAGGATATTTCCTATCTCAAAACACAAACATGTTGTGGGTAACTTTTGTCCGAAAGCATGTTGAACCCAGTTTGGGGCAAATCCTTGTCCAGCTGCTTCGTCTCGCTCACATTCGTGACCAACTCGTGTTATTCCGGGACAAGCCGAATAGCGACGTGTGCCCCTCTCGTGGCCATTTTTGCAACCCGGTTCCGTCTTAGCGCAAACGGGCATACCTAAAACAATTGTCAACTCGTTGCGCAATGGATCACATATATTTCCCCATATATCATTTATATTTCAGATGCAATTGAAAGCACATCAGTACATGCGAAATTATACAGTATGATTGAACACATTTAACTGTGTCTTGGGTATATTTTTAGATGCAAGACATATGTATAAACAGAAATTATTTCTGAGGGATTCTTTGACGAAGAACTTGAAACCATACGCGCATTCTCATTGGTTTGTCGTATATTCGCACATAACATTCATCGATAGGGGGACGAGTCTTCTTGCAGGTTACGGAAAGGGGCGAGTGGAAACGAATGGTCTCGCTCAGTCTGAACAGAAAGTAGTTCCCATGCAAACAAATGAACGGACACAATGAACTGAGAGTGTCGCTTATCAACGGTGGGGAGACAGGTGTTGAGATACTACAACCGTACGTCATATGTGTGTTGAACAAGTATGACCTCGTTTTATTAATTTTGACCGCTAATGAAAGCTAACGCTCTGGAACATTTAAACATTCAAACATTGAACCGTCATCAGTAGTGCTAGTTACCCGTAGTGTCAGTTACTCGTAGTTCTGCTTATCGTTAGTGCCCTTTACCACTTGTGCTAGTCACCTGTGGTGCGAGTTACCCGTATTGCTAGTTACACGTATTTCGAGTTAGCCGGAGTGCGAGTTTGCCGTTGTGCGAGTTACCTGTACAATGAGTTACTCGTTGTGTTAATTACCCGAAATGCCAGTTACCTGTATGTCGAGTTAGCCGGAGTGCGAGTTAGCCGTAGTGTGAGTTACCCGAAGTGCTTCTTCCCAGTGCTGCTATTAACCCGTACAACTGCGTCAGTTTGTTAACGCGAGCCAATTATATTAAGTTTTCGCATTAATTTCGCATTACAGTATGTTACACAGTACCTGTGTCGGCGCTGCCAACTTTATGCCGATATTAGTGGTACATTCATGAGGTCAATGTCGGAGAGGCTCTGTTCAATTGTATCCAGTTCAATGATGGGCCTGGTATTTTGTTTGTTTTGATAACAGTAAACATAAATGATCACTTATAAACCTCCAGTGACGTCATGCTATTATTCTCCAGTAGGGTTAAATCTTATACACAGAGATGTTATAATACCCCAGGGATTTTATTAACACGTGTTTCTCGAGAGAATTTTTTTTTGCATTTTAACACAATTTAATGAAATGTAAAATCAAATGACAAATGTTTTCTTTATATTCCCAAAGATCGAACACTCAACCTTCGTATCACTAGGCTACAGTGGCGCCGATGAATCACAATGCTTTTAAGAAAGTCTGTTTCAAGTACCGTACCAAGAAACATGGAGGTTCATGGTTCATGGTTCATGGAAAGAATGTTTGAAACGTAAAAATGTTGATAAATGTTGTATCAAGTTTCTTTTTTCGGTTTATAAGTTAGATAAAACACGTCCCCTAGGGTTTTTATGATATTTAAAACCCTTACCCTTGGGATAAAACCTCGGGGCTGGCGTTCTACCGTTTGTCCCGCGGATGCGGGTTTTAAATTTACACTCCAGTAAACCACGGTTATAACTAACACGCTTATAACGAACTGACTGATATAACGAACTTATTTTTTAGTCCCGACCATTTGTTGTATATATTCTGTATATATGCTTATAACGAACTACGCTTATGACGAACTAAAATAAGTGGTCCCTTTGAGTTCGTTATAACCGTAGTTTACTGTCGTGAAAACTCTCGGACGTGCTTTATGCTGCACATAAAGTTCGTTTGCTAAATTTCCGTCATATGTCAAATGAAACAATTAGACGCATACTTTACTGCCTTTGACATGATATATAAGCGTAATAGAGACGTAAAATACCACACGCATCAGCGTCAGCGGAATCTGTCCAAACCTTGTTGGCATGCATTAGATCAGATCTGCCTAATTGGAGTGGATGAAATAATGCCACGGCAATAACCATTAGTGTTTGGCATGTGGGACCGTCGGTGGTATTATGTCGAGCCATAGGAACAAAACATAACGCGTTATGGGACATCATGCACCGCTCTGTCTGAATACCAAATGGAAGAGGGATGCTGACATGTCTGTGCAATCGAATTGGAATTGCAGATTTAATTTGTGCCATTGCTGGGAACATAGTTGCATAGGAGAGGGCTGGGACGGGTCCAAATTTACTACCCGGGTACCCACCCCCCTATTACCCGACCCTACCCGGCTACCCACTGTATGTCTCAGGAGATGTCTCAAAATGTCCGATTGGGAACATTTGTAGAATAGCCCTGACAAAACGTATTAAGATGCATGTGTTGAACAACCTGGTCATTCATGCACTGAAGTTGAATTAAGTTATTTCTTTATTCAACCATATGAAAAATCAGAAGGATTGGGTGCAAAGTCAGAAAGAAATGCGAACATTAGTGACTTGTAGTGTAACCATAAAGTTGAAGGTAACTTTTGTCAATAAACAATATATCACGTGACTAACCACGGGTCCGGGTAGTCCTGTGGGTACCCGGGTCCTACTCAGTACCCACCCGACCTGGGTACCCGAGTTACCCGTCCCAGCCCGATCAGGAGATGTTTTAAAAAGATCATGTCGAAAATGTAAACGTTTGCTATGGGAGAACAGATATCGGATAAAACTCTGTAAGATTTAGTTGATCTGTGATTGATTCAGCCCTTAAGTTGCATATGCCTTAGGTGTTCTGTGTCAGTGGTGCCTCAATGTACAGAGGAAATAGACGTCCACGAGCGTCAGATAAACAGTGGGAACCAAATTAAGGGTCATTCATACAGCACGCATCACTGAAAATCTATACACAACGAGTGAGCAATTCTTTCCCTATCTGAAATCCCGCCCAGGATGAGTAAGTGAGTATTGTTTTACGCCGGGTTGAGCAATGTTTCAGCAATATCACGGCGGGGCACACCAGCAATGGGCTTCACATGTACCAATGTGGGGAATCGAACCTGGGCCTTCGGCGTGACGAGCAAACGCTTGAAACACTAGGCTACCCCACCGCCCCCTACAACGGGTGAGCAATTCCTGCCCTATGGGAAATCCCGCCCTGGATGAACGTTGTGGGGTTGTGGGGTTGTGGGGTTGTGGGGTTGTGAGCAAAATATGATAGTCCCAAGACATTTTGGATATTATAGATCAACAGTTATTATTGAGATACGTCCATGACATCCATTGATCTGCTTTTCTATTGTTGGCGTGTTGGTACGTAGGGGTAGCGTGGTGGTTAGAGCATTCGATCGTCACGCCGGAGACCCGGGTTCGAATCCCCAGATGGATATAATGTGTGAAGCCTCTTTTTTGGTTGGTTGGTTGGTTTGTTCTTTTACGCCGCACTCAGCAGTATTCCAGCTATATGACGGCGGTCTGTAAATAATCGAGTCTGGAGGAGACAATCCAGTGATTAATATCATGAGCATCGATCCACGCAATTGGGATCGATGGCATGCATCAACAAGTCAGCGAGCCTGACCACCCGATCCCGTTAGTCGCCTCTTACGACAAGCATAGTCGCCTTTTACGGCAAGCATGGGTTGCTGAAGACCTATTCTACCCCGGATCTTCACGGGTCTCAGAATCTTGATGTTAGTTTAGTGCTACGGAGAGGAGTTTTAAAACTACAGCGCGTCTAACTTAATAATGGCAACACACATTCTTCACTCTAATTGTGACATATTTTTCATCACCCCTTCGGATCACACTCACATTTCTAGTAGGTCCTTGTCAGATATTGTGTAAACTATCCAAATTATCAAATATTGACCATTTAATGTTTGTTTGTTGCTTAACGCCGCATTCAGCTATATGACGGCGGTCTGTAAATAATCGAGTCTGGACCAGACAATCCAGTGATTGACATCATGAGCATCGATCCACGCAATTGGGATACGAAGACATGCATCAAGCAAGTCAGCAAGCCTGACAACCCGATCCCGTTAGTCACCTCTTACGACAAGCACAGTCGCCTTTTAGGGCAAGCGTGGGTTGCTGAAGACCTATTCTGACCCAGATCTGCACGGGTTGACCATTCAATGAAAACAATCACGTTGCAATATGCTGTGTGCCATGCGGTTGATTTATTCGATATAATACAATCGTATTGATGCAGTAGTTATACACTGATAAAAGACAAGATGACGTACCTGACCCAATCATAATGGCGCAGATGATTCCATTAGCGATGTTTATCCGTGTTTTAGACATGTTGAATAAGAAAATTCGACTGACAGTTGTGATGCAGATGTGTGGAATGTCCGATGTGGGAGCCTCGTCGCGGATCTACATAAAAAAAGGTCGCTCTGGAACAACATGTGGTCACGTGACAAGAGCGCTGCGGCATCACCACACAACTCGGAGGTGTCGACGTGGGATTGCCCAACGCTTCATCTCGCATATACATGGATGAGAACGATTTACTCATAGAAAACTCAAAACCGAGTACAGGGAAAATGCTTGCAAGGCAAATTCAGCTGCGAAGTACATTGTCATGCGGCAGAGTCAAATATAAATTTCAAACAACTTTCAGTCGACTTGAGTGGTGAACCACACAACATTGGAACAAATGTATATCTATATCACCGATCCAGAATATGTCTTGAAAGTTAGCTCTATAACAATAACATTGTTACAGAGGTGACTAGCTTCAATAATGCTGATCAAGCGTAAAGTATCAACGTTAATTAACTGCTTTGTATCATTCGTGTAATGTTGCTAATAGACAATAAAGTGTGCCTGTTCTTAGTGTGTGTGATATGGATACACATAACGAAGAAAAAACAAGTACAGTAAAGTACGGTTATAACGAACTCTAATTTTAGTTCGTAATAACCGTAGTTCGTTATAAGCATATATACAGCATAACTACAGCAAATAGTCGGGATCAAAAAAGTAAGTTCGTTATATCCGTCCGTTCGTTATAAGCGTGTTCGTTACAACCGTAGTTTACTGTATCTTAATCAGTTGTATCTCATCAGCAAGTGTGAATCAAGTCCTGACGTGCGCAAGCAGCCATGTATCACGACGTTCCAACCATATTATTTAACGTGCGTCAAGATGAGGCAGCATATGCATTCTTCTTTTAAACCTGTCTGCTGTATAACATTACAAAAGATAAAGCTGTGTGTGTCCGTCGCAAGACCAGTGCATATGCATGTATTCATGAGCGGGAGTGTGTCGGTGTCCTCTGTCCTCTTCATTCAGGAATAACGCCAACTCGATTGTTATTTGCTTGATATTGATCGTCGATGCCGGTTGATGATACAATACAGACTGACGGCAGAACCTACCAAATATACTGGTCATTTTATGCAAGTTCCGTTTGCTCTTCAAAGCCTTTATCTATATAATATGCAGATACTATTTCTTCTTCTTGTTCTGTTACTATGCAGTGATGATATTCACTCCAATCCAGGCCAAATTGAGTAAAAGGTTGTTCAGCTCAATGTGCACAATTAAAAAGATAAAGTTGACTTAAATCATGCGGAAATAGTTGATGTTGAGTGTTGCTTAACGCCACACTCAGCAATGTTCCCTTATCGACCAGTCTATTGGCAAAGCTATGGAATTGAATATAAACACAAATAGACAAATAGAGGATCAGCTGATATCAACAAATGGTTTAAAACAATTAGTTATTGAACTTTCTAGGCTAACGCAAAGCTCAAGTACACTTACAGACCTATACAAAGTAGGGGATACTCGGACATAACATACAATTTCCTAAATAGTAAGCTAAATTAGTTTCTAGTCACAGCTGTATCTTAATAATCTTGATGGACGATAGGGTTAAGATGGGAAATATCCCATATTCACAAGAAACTTCTGCCAAAGGCAGTCGTTGGTTTGGTTGGTTGGTTTGTTGTTTAACGCCGCACTCAGCAATATTCCAGCAATATGACGGCGGTCTGTAAATAATCGAGTCTGGACCAGACAATCCAGTGATTAATATCATGAGCATCGGTCCACGCAATTGGGATCGATGACATGCATCAACCAAGTCAGCGAGCCTGACCACCCGATCCGGTTAGTCGCCTTTAACGACAAGCATAGTCACCCTTTACGGCAAGCATGGGTTGCTGAAGACCTATTCTACCCCGGAATCTTCAGGCAGTGGATTGTACGACTTCGACTATGTCATGAGCATGTGTCTATGTGCCCCTATCAAATAGCGATGATAAAGAAGATGTGGCCTCGATCCTGATAGATCTTGCAAACATATGCAGATTGATGTTTGTCCAAAACTGGAAGGCAGAGAAAATGAAGAAATGAATCAAGATCTGGCATTGTTATCCTTCTTGCTGTCAAAGCACTTGAATATTGTTTTCTGATAATACCAAGTCTGTTATGTTGAACTTGAATACCTTTTGTAACATTGTCTACTGCACTGCAGTACCGTCGCCTCACATTGACCTTAATATTACTTTTAATTACCAGGTAGATGTTTTGAACAGACATATATACATGTCCGAGGGTTTATATATTTCAAATATAATAATTTGTTTTCGCCAGCTATCCATGACTCCTGTCTACAGAAGATTATAACACTAAAGGGAGAGAAAACACGCGTCTGGGTGAAATCAGTTTCCTGTAAGAGGATTTGCGAGAAACATGAAAACAAATTTGGAATGTAAAATTCACCTATTCTTTCCTTTCTGGAGATACCAAGGTCGGACGCAGTTTTACCCTGGGTACACAAGCATGCCACCTTTCTGTGGTCGGTACAGTTATGGACCCGTGAAGATTCCGGGGTAGAATAGGTCTTCAGTAACCCATGCTTGCCGTAAAAGGTGACTATGCTTGTCGTAAAAGGCGACAAACGGCTGGCTTGGTTGATGCATGTCATCGATCCCAATTGCGTGGATCGATGTTCATGATATTAATCACTGGATTGTCTGGCCAGACTCGATTATTTACAGACCGCCGCCATATAGCTGTAATATTGCTGAGAGCGGCGTTTAAACAACAAACCAACCAACCAACGGTACAGTTATGTGCTTCTGTGCTGCCTACATCCAATAAGTCATGCATGTCAATGACTCCTGCTTGTGTGCTACTCATGATTTGATTGAAACTGAAAATCAGTTTGGTTGATCAGGACTTGGCGTGTCAAGACAGCATGTTGGGGAATTGTTACCTTGCGCGCTGCCACAATTGGCTAAGAAACTAGCGTGTTTCATTAGCTGGCCAGATCATTTCTAAAGGGGATGTCATTAGACGTATGCCAAAAGTGATCAAAGAAACATACAGAAATACCAGAGTCATGGACGTTATGAAGTTTTTATTGAAAAGCCTGGTAACTTCACAGCAAGAGTGATGATATGGTCAAATCACAGAAGCCACAATAATATCAAGATTTTAGTTCCAATTTCACCATTTGGAGTTGTTAGATTTGAGTCAAGAGCCTTAGGGGTCATGGTGTCTGATAAAGTCAGTACACAACGGTCTGATTTTGTACCTTTCGAACATTGGGACCTTCTTTCGGCTGATCGTGGCTTCTAAATCTAAACTCAGGTGAACTGACTGCATCTGATGCAACTTGCAATCCCTGCATTTAGACGTGGTAAATCTCAGGTAATTCCCAAAGAGATTGAGACAGGTCGTAGACTATGGCGAGTGAGAATTCATGTGGAGAGGGCAATACAGAATATAGAACTTCATAATCTTAAGTACAACAATGAAATGAACCTTGTACCTCAAGCTGAATACATCATCAGTATCTGCAGTGCAATTTCCAACCTCCATCCCAAACTTGTGGATTGCTTCCTGTTTACTTGGGCCTGTTGAAAAAGGCGTCCAGTGGGATCGGGTTGTCGGGCTAGCTGACTTGGTTGATGTTTTGCACTGTATCCCGATTGCGTATATACTCATCATGTCAATCACTGGAATGTCTGGTCCAGGATCGATTATTTACAGACCGCCGTCACGTAGCTAGAAAATTACTGAGTGTGGCGTAAAGCATACAAACAAACCATTAACGAAAAATACTATCACATTGTAAAAACACACACGTTTTTAATGTTAGTTAATTTTGTATACCGGGTGCCCGGGCCCCCTGACCTCCACACACCCTACACATACCTGACACCCTCTGGATCCGCCTGTGTCAGCTTTTCGCAAAGTTGAGCCTATCCTGCCCCACAAACAGATGAAAAGGCAAGTACATTGTTCACCTTAAAAAACACGGAAACATATGATATAAGATAAAATAGGGAATTGCATCGGACATATGCAATTGCATGGAAATTTTGTCACTGAAGCGGCAAATTTGGAAATGTCACATTATATAACTTTTCAAAGTTTTACTGAGGCTTTATTATAACTTTTGAGCAAGAGCTGTATGACGCTCTTTGCAGGCATGCTCGATTGTACCTCAAAAGTTGTGAAATGTAGACACTTAAAGTTGAAGCTGCTTTAATGTAGCTCAACGTAAAGGGAAAGTTGACAATTGAAAAGATGAAGTCATCCCTCTTGCCATACAGTTTTGTTGAGAGTGATTTGTCACTCCGAATCGTTATGCATAGATAGAGAATACTACACTCATTCTCGTTAGATACCATTTTTACGAAACTCATGAACTTTCTATGTTATCTGACCTCGCTTTCGCCCGGTCAGATAAAAGTCAACTCATAGAAAGTCCACTCGTTTCGTAAAAATGGTATCTAACGAGAATGAGTGTGGTATTTTATTTATTACCCACGTTAAATATGTATGTAAGAGTAAATACATAACAACTTTTTTTCGTTGACAGACCAAACTGAAACCGGTTGCAAAATCTGGTTGTGAATGAATATTGATATATGCCCAAATATGGGCATTGCTTACATTCCTATGCATACGCATTACCATCATGCGCCTGCAGTTGTTTACAAACATAACAGCACCGACGCTCAAGATCCTTTTGGAAGAATTTCTTCAACTTATGAGAATACAAGCGCCATGTTGTTAGTACGCAGGACACCTATAAGAAAATTTGAAAAGTCATTAGCGCCGCGCTTTGAATATCGGACCAACAGTCGGTCACTCGCACTGCCGGGGTCCCGCATGTGCATTCAAAATGGTTCGGTTTCCTTGATCAATCAGCTGAATTCATATCATGTTCGTACCATTTTGGAAGAGGGAAATCAGAGTGTTGGCCGAAGACATTCATGTTTGCTGTACCACTCTTTACTGAAGACGTGAAAATCAACACGCTCAAGTCTGCTTGCATGTCAGTGACAGCTTCGAACGAAGGGCAAGGTCACCACCGGAATAAGAAAAGACAACCGTGATCTACTCAGCGTTTTACAGTAGAGATA